AAAGTTCGTATACAAACAGAGCTTCAGTATGGTGAAAAATAAAATATGAAATTCAAGGGGAAAGGGGGTATATTTGGAAATAATAAAATTAACTAAAGTGTCCTAAACTCAGAGTTATGAAAAACATATTCATTCTCTCTAGGAGCTTTTTTTTGTGTGTGTGTGTGTGTGTGTGTGTGTGTGTGTGTGTGTGTGTGTGTGTGTGTATGGCAAAGAGAGGATAAAGAATGAGTGCCAAGGATCAATGGGGGATGGTGTTTGGTGGAAAACAAGACAGATATGGCATGGAAGAGGAAAAGAGATGTTACAAGAGAGAATAGACGCAGTGTGGGTGATTAGTGAGGGAGAAGAGTCTACCAAAACACATTTTTCAAAATGCCTTAATAATATCTCATATCTTGTACAGTAATTAAACAAATGAAAGAGGTTTTGAAATTCCCCAAAATTTGGTGTTAGATTAGACAAGCATTAGAGCAGTGTCTATGTTAGCAGTTAAAGTCAGTATTTCTGTCTCAATTTTGACGTCTATAACTGTTATATAATATTGGGAGTAACTGTTGTGATTATTGTAAAGATGGAACAGAGTTTCATATTTTGGCTGAAGAGAATATTTATTGCTGCAACCCTTACAAACTTGGGTTTTAGAACCCTTATAAGTGGTACTGAGTGAATGTACAAAGGACAGTCACATGTATAGAAACCCTGGGGTCAGGTAAGAGTGTATGCTCTGATGGAGAGTGCCTACTATTACCAACAACCTAGAACCTCAGCATGTTTATTGAGTACAGTACAGGGTAGGAGATACACTAGGTATGAAGTCTACATAGGTTAGTATTCTCTGGGTATAAACATATGTTAGAAGGAAGAAGCTGCAATTTCTAGTTTTTATTTTTACACACTGATCAATCATCCTTAAATATTCATACTTGGAACAGAAGAAGGTGGCTTTCACAACTCCCACAAATGCCCCCTGCTTTCTCAGAGGCTATGCCTACACCCAACACCCCAGGTAAGCCCTCTTACCCACAGACCACCAACACTTCCTAAGAGCCTGGCAAGCCTACCCCTAACAGATGCCACTTCCTTTGTCACCATATCTCAGCCCACAACTCCAACCAAAGCCTCCAGCTTTTCCAGGGCCTATGTCAGCACCCAGAACCTCAGAGTTCACACAGGCCACCAGAGTTCCAGCAGAGACACACTGCTGTACCAGAGGACTCTCAAGTCACCAGAACCACATGCCACTCCAGCCACTGAGAGGAAACGGAAACCAAGGGGGACTGGAAACCCATCCAACAAAGGCAAACTCAGAAATTGGCAACTAGACTTATAATTACACCAAACCCAGATGCCTAAATGTTAGTGTCATAACATAATCCACAAGAGCTAGGGCAATAATCACCACGAGTCCTGCTACCCCACAACCATAAGCCCTGAATATTCCAACACATCTGAAGCCGAAGAATATGACTTAAAGCCAACTTTATGACTATGATAGAGGTCCTTAAAGAGGAAATAAATAAATCCCTTAAAGAAAGACAAGGAAAAAAACAGAGTTGAAAGAAATGAATAAAAACTGTTCAATACCAGAAAATGAAAACAGAATCAATAAAGAAAACACAAATTGAGGGAATACTGGATATAGAAAATCTAGGTGAGCAAACAAGAACCACAGATGCAAGAATTACCAAGAAAATATAAGAGCCTGGAGGAAGAGGAAGAGAAAGGATTGTAGGAGCCAGAGGGGTAGAGGATACCATTAAAACACAGCCCAAAGAACCAACTAAGCAAGGTCCTAGGGACTCACAGAAACTGAAGTGACAAACATAGACCCTGGATGGGTCTGACCTAGGTCCTCTGAATATATGTTATGGTTGTGTAGCTTGGTGTTCTTGTGGGACTCCCAACAATGGGAGTGGGGGTGTCTCTGACTCTTTTGTCTGATCTTGGAACCCCTTTCCTCCTACTGTGTTGCCAAACCAGCCTTGATATGAGGGTTTGTGCCTAGTGTTATCATATCTTGTTAGACACTGTTGGGTGGACATCCCTGCTCTTTAAAAAAATGGAGGAGAGGATCTGGGAGAGAGAGGAGATGGAGGGAGGGACTGGAAGGAGTGAAGGGGGAAACTGTGGTCAAGATGTAAAGCATATGTCAAATATATTGATAAATTCTATATACTCCCCCAATCTTGTTTCTATTTAGGCAAATACCAAAAACTTCTAGCCTGGCCCACATTGGAAAATGCCTTGGCTAATTTCCCAAGGATACAAGACCTTGATTTTTGCTGTTGCTGTCCCATATCATCAATCAGAATTTCATTTACCCATTGTTTTCCTGTGCTCCATCATAGATAGATAAATAGATAGACTAGATAGATAGATAGATAGATAGATAGATAGATAGATAGATAGATAGATATTTTTATATATGAAAACATATGTAAACAGATTGACAGATGGCATAAAAGAATGAGGGCAAACAAGGACTTGACTATAACATAAAAATTAAAAGATTTTTTTGGTGTGCATGGCAAAATTGATGAGATTTATCATCTAACAAGGTAAAGCTATTAACAGATATGTGGTAGGGATTTTTAGCATAGTCCATTTCCAAATAAGTCATTTTTAGCCCATTCTAAATTATATGTGTTAAAAGGATGCATGAATTCATTAAATTATTTTTAACTCGGCTCATTATTACACTCAGCTTGACATCTCAGACGGTTGCTAATTTTTAACCAATTTAACAAATGTCCTTTGTTAGGAATTAAGTAGCAATGTTTCTAATGTATTACAGCTAAAATCAAGTATTTCAGAAAAGAAGGTATATTGCATATAGAATCTTAGAAAATTAGAAAGACACAAAGAAATTTAGTTCAACCACTCATTAGAGACATATTCAAACAGAATCATTCCTGGATATTCAAAACTAAATGATTAAATACAGTGAATGAGCAATGATAAAATCATCTATTAAGATTTAGAAAACTAGCAGAAAGTATATGTGATAGGTAGGGTTTTAGTTGGGAAGTGGTAGGGAAGGAGGGGAGGGAGAGGGAACTGGGATTGACATGTAAAACAATCCTATTTCTAATTCAAATGAAAAAGTCTGCAAAAACATTTAGAAAACTACCTCAAAGAATTGTGGTCTAAGTTAAAAAAAAAATGAGGAACCGATACAAATTTACAATAGGCCCTTAAAATCTTATGGTATGGACCACAGACTAACCATTTGCTCATGGAGCAATTGTATCAGGTATCAGACCATAAACCATGCAAAATTCTATAGAATTTAAGTTGTAAAGCTCTCTTTAGAATGTATTTTATTGGGGGGACTTTCTTGGATAAAGTAACATTACTCTTTTTGCCTTTTCCCCTATTGTGGTTTTACATTAGTTCATTTATTCATAATGTTTATGAAATTTTAAGAGTAGAATTTGTGTTTTTACTCCCAGAAAATAATATCATATATATATATATATATATATATATATATATATTATAGAGTAAAATTAATTTAATTAATTTTCATAGAATATATTTTGATTGTATTCTTTGTCCTCCCCTAACAAGTCTCAGATCTTCCACACCTCCTCTCAAAAATATAAATATATGCTTCCAACAAAACAAAG